GAAGTTGCCAAGGTTGAGAAACATTGCTATAAACCAAAATGGAAAAATGTCAAGGATGCTTGCTATTGTTTCTAAACTTCTCCATGCAGATTTGCTAATATTCACTATAGCCTAGGATACAAGAAAAGGCCCTTGGGAAAATACACAGTTAAAAAGCTTAGTACACCTCAAAATGTTATTCTAGAGTATTCCTATGAAGTTCACAAATTGATCTCTAATGAACAATAGTTACTGAATTTATGTCCTACATGATTAAAATGTATAGTAGAGTTCATACCTTTACTGTCAGTTTACCAAATGTTTCAGATTATGAAGATTAAACTATTTGAATACAGAAAAAGATATAAACATAAAAATTGCCAAAATTGCCTAGACTCAAAAATTATTTGCATTGTTTTACACTTCTCCATTTATGTGTGATCCAACCTTCTAGAAGCTTGACTTGTTCTGTGGGTAACATAAATTATGACTTACTATTAAAATGATGCACATTGGCAAGGCAATTCTAAAATTGATGCACTTCACAATAAATAATTATGCCATCTAACTATGGTTAATGTAGCATGCTGGATTAATATGCTTTATTTAAATGAAGTAGGGCCAATCTTTTTTTCTTTGTTTTGATTATCTCATAAACCTGTTGTGAAAGGAGGATGAGGAAATACACCAATTAGTCATAAATAAACTCATGCATATGAAAAATATAGTTGCTACTGTGGGTTCCATCTATAACCATAGTAACTATGTTCATTTTATGCTTGCATCCAACTGACATCCAACTTTCCAGGAAGTCTAGCTGCAGTCCTGTGTTGCCCTATAGTCATGGATCTGAATTCTATTAAGTCACATTGAAAGGAAAGGAAAAAAAACCATTTCACATTGAAAGGAAAGGAAAGGAAAGGAAAGGAAAGTAGTCATGACATTTTAATTAACTAAATCTACCTCACCATATTGAACAGAGGCTTGCTGTGTGAAGAAATCTTGAGTTTCTCTTGTAATAAATTGATAAACCATGACTATTTCTATTCTTTTCACCCTTAGATTTATAGGATTGGATCGTTCAGATCTACTATTGCATTTCATTGCTTATGGCTTAATTTTCAGCAACGAATATTTGTTTCTTTATATTGTTTATTGCACTAGACTTGCTCTTTCTTCCCCTTTCCTAGAAGGAATCTTCACTTTTTTTTCTTTCAAGTGACTATATACATCAAGTTCTTCATAAAGCGGGTCATTAAACTTTCAAATCCAAAGGTAGCAAACATCATTGCCTTTAGTTTGCACAGTAAGTTCTCAGATAGCTCTTGTGAGCTATCAGAACATTGCTGAAAATATGTATTACTTACTTAAACTTGGCAAATAGGCAGGAAAGCTTTTCAGCCTTGGAAAAAATAATTTAAGATATCAGGCAGGTAATAAGGGAGAGGAAAGGTACATTGAAAAGATCTCATTCAACTCTGGCTCCAACTGTTGAGAGTATATCTAAAAGACCACTTTTCATTGTCCCTGTCTTGCTCACAGAACTTAGAAGAAATTTGTTTCTTTTCCAGGTTTAACACACATCAATTCTAGCAGCAGAAAAATGAATGGCGGGATTTAATCAATTGCTATGAATAAGGTGGCATAAATTATAGGAACTCTACATACCTTCCTTTTCCGTGGTTCTTGATGAGAAAGTGAAATTAAGAAACTGAAAGGAAAAATAGTTATTAATATTAGAATTGAGAAAAACAAGCTGCACATCCCTAAACATTTCTGTATAACCTCCAACTGTATTTGGAAACATGATAAAATCATATGGGCATAAGTTCTCCTGCTGTACTTTATGTTTCCTGTAATCAAATTTGGAGCTATATGTTGTGACAAGAGAGTTAAACCAGAAGTATTCACAAAGACTGTTTTTCAGTAGTTTAGCTTGCTTTTCAGCCATCAGCACCTTCATTCACCTTTATAGACTTGAAAAACTATCCTGGCCAATATGAGGGCTTCAATAAAGTATTTCCAAGGCAGGTCTAAACTTTGGGTACTTTCAGAACCTTGGAAAGCTCCACACAGGAAGCTCAACATCTGAGATGATGAGAGGACTACATCCTCCGTCCAGGAAATCATAAAATGATATATTGAGGGCTTTCCTGAATCAGGCTCATCTGGGTCCATCATACTCTGAATCCTTATCAGAGCCCTTCTGAGAACATGACAACTGATTGGGAATTCTGCAAGTTCAGTTTCAAGTATTTGTGGAATACCCAAGACGGTTGCTTTAGTTGAATTTATCAAAATATCTCAAAAGAGTATACAGCTTATATGCTCCTGCATCACATTTTGATGATCCTAATAAAGATATTTTCCAGCTGTGGATTTTGTACTTTAAAATGGGTTCTTTCTGAACCACTAGCCCAGATACACACAAAAGTATGGCATTTTATTATAGATAATAAAGTAAGCTTTAAAGAAAATCTTGCTTAATTAAATTATTGCCCATGCTCACCTCCACTGTACTCTTAGTGTTAAACAATTTGTTGGGATTCATATATTTAAGCCCCTTCATCCTCTTTCCATTTAAAAGAGGCAGATCATGATAGAGGTAAAGCAAATATTAATAAATACATTACAGACCTTTAGGGAAAAAAGTAATTATCCTATGTATTAGTTTAATTCTTTATACTAATTAACTACTTTTTGACAAATAATAAGGGTGAATTATAAATTGAACTTATTAATTTTCATTTCAATTTGTTATTACAATACTTTTGGACTGATCACTTAGCCATGAAATTTGCTGATCCAGTTCAGTTTAATTTTTTTCTTTATGTCATTATTTCAGGGGGAACCTGGTGCAGTGGGAGAAAGAGGAGTCCCTGGGCTTAAGGTTTGTAGAGAAAACGTTGGCTAGTAATCTTTCACACTCTATTTTTATACATAAAATTATTTGCAGTTCTTTTGTCCTTATCAGTTCTGCAGCAAAATTGTTTTATTCATGGATGGAGCTGCATAAGGAGCAGAACAATAATCTTTAATAGCCACACTCAACTATTAGTTTGTTGTAACACATATTATACATATGACGAAGGAATAAGTGGAGTACATTCCAGTATTGCTATTAGATTCTATTCTTTATAATCATATATGATTTAAATAAAGAGCCTTTTCTGTAGATAGTCTATACATCTTTACAGAGGGTTGACCTTCAACGATAGGGATCTCTCATTTTCCTAGTACTCAACACAAAGATATCCCTTGGGAAATTTAAGTGTTTCCATAGGTAATACATCCACTGCTTTTGTGATTACTGAGTGGAATATGGCTGAATGAGATTCAAGTTCACCTGCTGAGAAACCATCTTTTGATAATGATTAGCAGTACAATTCTCTCTCTCAATTTCCACTTAAAGAAGGTCTCAGGGAGCAGAACTGAAAAGGATACACTTATCTCAGCCCCAAAGAGCTTCTTATGATCAAAATACCAGCCTACATGGACAGAGATTATGGCCTGATGCAATGAAGCTATATATGTCCTAGCCTTAGAATAGCTATATGTCCTAATTTACAAAAGAGACTAGTGGTGGTGGTGTTTTTTTTAAGGCTGTTAGAAGAATTTCTCTAACTGAAGAAGTCCTATATCTGAACTGCTGCCCAAAGCCCAGTTTAAAGATAAAGAAGAAAAAGAAATTTCCTTAAGAGTTGTACCTGAACAAATGGAGTAGTCACACATATTACATAGTCTTAGTTGCAATCTTCCCTACTATACTGGATGTTTAAGTTGTAGTAATCATTTGCAATTTGTACTTATGTATATAATAATGTATGCAGTTTAAGGAAGTATGATTAGTAACACATGGGTGACAAATCTACCTTCATGAAACTATTCTCTCATTTATTAAACATATGGGATCAAGGTATGCAGAACATCATGGATTCCTTAAGTATGGTGGTGGATCAACACAGTCTGATCAAGCAAAAATGATTCCAAATATCTCAGAAAAAGAAATAGTTCTGTCACTAGTATATAACTGCTCTTAGGTTTAATAGTCTACATTGCTTGATTACATCAGTCATGCTAGTGTGGGTCCCAGAAGGATTTGGATGCCATATTGCTATTGATGGTGAATAGGCCAAGATATGAAAATGATCAGCTTGTCCTTTATATGTCAGGAAAGAACATAGGCCTTTGGAGAACGCTCATTTCTCACTTTAAAATTCCACTGATGACAGATAATAGCTAATTAGTTTCTGCACTGTTATACTTCAGAAGCACAGAGAAATCAATAGCCAGACAAGTTTGAATGAACTATATAGAGGCAAAGCTCGCACAGGATGAATTACCTAAGTCATAATCAGAGAATATAAGGATGCTTTTCAATCTGTCAAGCAGCCATTAATTTAAGAGCAAATTAAAGGTGTCTTCTGATAGATTCTGAGAATACATCTGCAAGATTCTAATAAGCCAAAATAAAGCCATCATTTACTCAAGCTTACAGTTTCCCACCCACATGTTCACCTATGCATACCTTGCACTAGTATTGTAGTAAATTTTGAAGTGCAAAATGAAGAGGCTACAAAAATGTGCACAATGCACCAGAAGGCATCAGAACACAGTATTTAATCCCATAAATGAGCACTAGATTTAATATGAATTCAATCCTGTAGTTAGTTGCATAGAATAAGCTCCATCAAACTCTCTGATGCTTCTTTCATATAGTATTTCAATTGATAAAGTATATTTTGACAAAAATAAGACTATAAAAATAATATTTAGGTTTAATTAGAAATACAAATCATCTTACAAAGAAGGGTTACTAGTTTTATTGGTAGAATCAACCAAGAAATCCATAAGAGAAAAGAAAAAATATAGCTTTGATTTAAGTATATTTACTCAAAGTAATTGTTGATTCTTGTTTTGAAATGATTTTAGTAAAGCAGGAAGACATGATCAGCAGTCTAAGTGTGGAAATTATAGCTACAGATAATCAGTGAAATCTGGTGCAAGAGAGATGATGCTCAGTAGACATAAGAAGTCTTCTACGCCTTTGCAATTTTTAAAAAATTAAGTAAGCTACACATGAATCAAAATTATTTAACAAGCTAAAAAGCATATTTCACATAAAAGCATATTACACTAATGTAGACCATATGAAATAGGGTATCCTATCTCTGTTGAATCACTGCCAAAATTATTGTTTATTTTTATCCTTCAGTTTGCATACATTTAATAGGTGCAGTGGTATCAGATGAAGGTCCGACAGATCTGTACGACTGTCCTTTGAGAACAATAATAAGTGCTTTGTTTCTGTCTTCTGTTTCAAATAGGGTGACCCTGGACAACGAGGAGAAAAGGTAATCTCTATACTTGCTCATTCATACATTCAAATAATTTCAAAATTGAATCGGTAGTGTTGAACAACTGTTCTTAAATTCCATTTTATGGAGGATGTTAAGAAAATCAGCATCCAGATCAATGTTATATGCTCATAAGGTGCTGTAAGAACTATAGAAAATCACACTTTTCATTTTGAAATGTTTATAGGTCACATTATAACCAGAAGAATTGAAACAGGCATGCAAATTGGGGGGAAAAGGGAACAAAAGAAAGGAGTGTGAACTTTGCACAACTAAAGCTTACAGTTTAATTGTGGCAGTCTAGCTGATGCTGCTAGAGGCCTAATGTTTCAGTAAGTTGTCAGCTCAGATGTCTACATTCTTGATAATTTATGAAACTCTGTAAAGAACAATGTTGAAAATAGCTATGTGGTTCCAGAAATCAAGGAAATAGAAAACTTTTTAGAACCTCACTGTATTTGGATGAACGCATCAAGCAAAATAATTCTGAACATCTATTTGTTTAAAACTCAGAAGGGTGTGATATAAATTGTATATATAAAACAAATAAATAACCTTTGCAACAAATATGACAGATACCCAGTATTAAGCAAGCTGGGACTGTGCATTGGAATCTCCCTCAAGCCTGGTACTTCAATCTTGGTCTTTTAAAACATTTTTATTAGATCTTAAACAAGAAACTAAGTTTGATGTGACAGGAAAACCACCAGAGCCAGTTCAGAACTAGACTCTTACTGAAATATTGCTTTATTTTTGTAATTTATTATTTCTTTTTTCGATTACCCTGTCACCTACCTTTTTTGTTCATTTTGTTTGCTCTAGTTTTATAGCTTTCTTTAAAACTGTCAAATAGAAATAAATTTGGGAGATTTAATAGAAACCAACTGGTAAATGAAGGATTTTAAAATAACTTATTCTGATATTTAGGGTGATGCTGGAGAAAGTGGACCCAAAGGTCACCCAGGAGAAAAGGTACAGTTTGTAGAGAATGCCACTGAGTGCATTTAAATTCAGGTTAAAAACGATAAAGATTTTTTTTTTAAATTACATGTATAATTAGAATTAATTATATATTTTTTAATTTTAACGTTTAATAAATTATAATGTATTCAAATTTATAATTTGTAATTCCAATATATATTTATAAATGTTTACATTTATAATGTTTACAAGACTTAGTCAAGAACATTTGTTTTATCAATATGAATCTTTTGGTTTTATTTTTATAGTAACTATAACCATAGTATCATAGAATTGTATTATTTGTAGTATCTAATTAGATTGAAGTTATTCAAATAAACTTCATTATAACATTGCAGAAAAGAGACAATTTATTAAGATTTTTTTTCAGAGTAAGCTTTATTTTATATCTTTGTTGCACAAAGCCCAATTCTTACTGAGAGGTTATTATTTTTTATAATAATATTTCTTCTGCAAAATATCAGTAATTATCATGACATCTCCTGGCTTGTGGACTCCCCCCACAGATACTCTGTGTTTCCTGTTATGAGGTTTAAATACTTCTTGTAAGATTGTTAAGTCTGCTCTGAGCTTCAGGCAACTGTTTCAAATTGAAATGGGACATTATGAGCTCAAAATAGTTTGAACGCAAGACATTTAGAACATTTCTTTTTCCTTTACCCTTCAGTCAACAGCATAAAAAATTGAGGGAAGAAATCCTTAGATCATATACGATGGTTGAAATCTGTTTGGTGTAACACTGTTGTGTCCAGAATTTTCTGCTTTGGCTTTGCTTGCTTCCTTATTCCATTTCAGTAGGCATATATATGGACAGACGCCACATATTACTCACAAATTCTAGTTTGACCTTATGTAACTTTGGCTTCCATCAATAGAACTTCCCTTCCCACACTTGAAACATAATGTTAAAACCAAAATTCACACAGGAGATTCAAAGGTAAAACTGAATAGGAGTACATTGCCAATGTTCACATTCCTGCACAGGACATGTTCCACCATGTGAGCTGGTAGAACTTTGTAAATGGTAGATGATTCAGCATGTTATTCTTTCTCAACTAGAAAGAGTTAACAGCAGCATACATTGTCTCTCTCCTCCTCAATTTCATACCCACAAACATTTATAAAGTAATAAGCTAATTTAATGTGCTTTCCTCCAGTCCTTGAGTCTCCAGCATAATTTTCTCTGTCCCAACAACCAGTCTGTATTCTGCCTCAGTAATGAGGCCAGTGAGTATTGCTGTCCTTACGGCTTTAAGCGGAACACATTAGGGAAAGTGATTGGTGGATTTCTTGCCATGAAGAAAAACATCCACCAATCATTCTCCTCATGTGGGTTGGGGCTGGACTAGGAGCAGAGGTGATTTTTGACAGATGGCTAGTCTTATGGTTTTAGCAATCTCTCAGAACCTGACCATGGAGGTGGGAGCTTTCTACCTCTCTTGCTTTACTGGGGAGCCCTCAGTCACCGTAGCCTTCATACATCCTGCAGGTGATGTGTGGATTATGTCTCTAATGTAAACTTACTTCCTTGAAGAGGAAGAAGAATCAGAGGAGAAGGTTTAATTGTGTTAAGGGGTCCCACTCTTTCTCTACGGAAAATTACATTCCAGGCAGTTACTAGAGCCGAACATTATGGGTGTGTACACTTCAGCAAAATGTGGTCATTAGCAGTGGGCAAATCCCATCCCCTACCATCAAATTCCAGAAATCATGTATTTAGCAAGGCTTGGATGAGAAGATGGAAAACACCAGTTTAACATAAGATTGAACATATATATGTTAGGCAACTTTAGCTACTGTATGTGCTGGGATGCAATGAAGACTGGGCATGAAGCTATGTTTATAAAGAATGACTAGCAAGGCATCTCTGAGCCACAGGAAAGGGATTTGTGGATGAACCTGCGTCTGAAGTTCTTACACAAATGTATTATACTGACTGCCGGTTGAGTGTTAACCATGAAATATTCATGATTAAGCTTGTTTGGCAAAAGTATTAACTTCCCAATTGATTCCCAGTTGTTGTTGTTGTTATGGTTGGTCACACAGTCAGCCAGATGTTTAGACTGGATTTGGCATTTTTATCCACCTTCTCAAGGACCTGGGATAGGCAGATGTTGTTTGATGGTGTTAAAGGTATCGTTGCAGGATATCAGCTGTTCCAAGTATAAGCTGCCTTTTGCAATTGACTGAGGGTGATTTTGTCAATGCCAATGGTCTTCAAGTGGTGCTCCAGATGTTTTGGAATTGCACCCAAGGCACCTGTAACTAGTGGCACTATCTTTGCTTTCTTTTTCCACAATCGTCCCATCATCATCATCATCATCATCATCATCATCATCATCATTATTATTATTATTATTATTAT